TTGTTACCTGATGAACCTTGTTGTTCAGATTTTTTTTATGTCGAAACTGATCTTAAAAAACATGTTACAACCAAATCAACTGATCACCCTTGTTTAAACAAGGTAACGATGACCCCCCCCCCTAAGTAATTTATGAAAAAATTAGAGATTTATATACTTTTACCTTAATGTTTTCTTTCCTTTTTTGACAAGAGCAGATGTCTTTGAAATAAAACACAAACAAAATGTGAAAGCGTGGCAGAGAAAGAAATATCACAATCAGCATCAATCAAATTAACTCTTCTGGCTCCCCCTGCAGTCTGAGCAGAGACATGTAAACACCGCCCTCTATTGGCATAGGGTCACCGACCGACACAATTTAGGCCTACCTTGTTTACTACTACTAGGGAGTAGGAAGTAAATTGCCAACGACTGAATTCATGATGAGCATGAGGTTTCCGTTGATTTTTCAAATTTTTGGTCAAAGAGTCCATACGTTACAGTCTACACGTAGTATCAATCTTGCCATTTTACACTGTCATGTGAAGGTATGAACGTGACGGAGTGTTGAAGGTGTTTGTGATTTTTTCTTGATGCTAGCTGTTTCCTTACCGCGCTCCTTGCCCCACAAAATCGAGGAATGGGCGTGACGGCCCAGTGGACGACAAACCCACAGTGATCAAAGAGCAAGGACACTTTTTGAGCCTTCTGAAACTTGTAAGTTGTAGTCAGAAGGGCACATCGCGGACTTGTGCGAGTTGTGTTACTACATATGCATGTATCGTGCTGTAAGTGCTCACTTGATTCTCTCCACTGATGTAGACTTCAAAATGTCATTATCAAGTTCATGCGTTCCCTCGGTCTTGACACATGCTTGAAGATCTTACTAAATATGAGTTCCTATAAGTCTCAGTCCTAGCAAATAATTTCAATTTATGGAAAAAATGTTGCATCCTGACTCCAATTTCCTCATCATATGTCATCTCAATAAAAGTCAGTCATTACAAAAATGCTGGAAAGACACGAATTCTGGACTGAGAGTGAGAAACATTTACCGATGTTGTTGGGAAATACTTAGAAAATTCTCTTCACTCCACATAGACTTTGTACACAACTGCTGCAGTGGAGTCAGGATTTCCTAGGGAATAATTATGGGCATCCGTGTATGGAACTCCTACCATTTGACTTTTTAGGACATTTTAATCATAGTGCTTGAAGATGGGCTTTACTTTTTCACTGCATCCATATTAGGCCCAAAAAAATACTCGGTCTCTGGTCAGACCAAAGTTCCAGAATTGACGCAACAATTTGAGTTTTTTATTTCCTTTTTTTTTTCTATTTTTTTTAAGGGGGATAGGTTGTCTTTTTAAGACTGGCAACGGGCACGCAAATGAGTGACATATTTAATCAAAGAGCAAAGGCTAGTAGTAGCACGTCGCACGTCATGACGCCATTGTTTTTGATCAG